GAGGGAGGGAGGAAGGAGGGAAGGGAGGGAGGAAGGAGGGAAGGAAGGAAGGAAGGAAGGAAGGAAGGAAGGCAGGCAGGCAGGCAGGCAGGCATTTATATAGTGCTATGTGCCAGACACTGTTCTAAGCACCTTACATTATTAGCTTATGTAATCCTCGCAACAACCCTATTTAGTAGCTGCTTTGAATATCCCCCATTTTACAGAGGAGGAGATGAAGTATTGGGAAGTTAAGTCATTTGCCCAAGGCCACAAAGGTCATAAAAGCAGCAGAGCTGGGACACAAACCCAGGCAGTTTGGCTTCCAAGGGCATATTCTAGAGAGTCACTATGTCCAGGCTGCTCTGAAGGTCATCAGCTGAAGACCAAATTGAGGGAGAGTCCAGTTCCCTTGCAGACCTGAGTCTCCCTTTGCCCAGGGATCTTTACCCTGGCTCCTTTGCAAAGCCTTCTTCCTGCTCTGCTTGAGCTCTAGCGCCCCTACGCTCCAGGGAGGCAGCCCTTCCTGCCAATTCCTGTCTACAGTACAACCCCTTCCCACCTTTCCCATCCCACACTCACCTTAAAACCCATCGGGCGGAGCTTACATGCTATTTCTGCATCATGCAGTGCGTTCTCATGAGACTCCAAGGTGAAATAAATCTGAGACCGATTGCTATAAAGCAAGTGGTCATTTGGAGCTGCCAAAATGAGAAAGAAAAACCCTTATTAATGGCCCCCAGCCAGCGCAAGCAGGTGGTAAGTCCTGTATGAGCATGGATCTTGAGCAAATGATAAGTTTTCTAGGACTTTTTTTACTGGAGATCAAAAGGATTGGGATCTGTTTCTAGTTCTAATATTGTCCTGCCTTCTACAACCCCAGACAGTCTTGGTTCCCCAACTGCAAAGTCATTTTTGATCCCCGCTCACAAGTTCATTAGAGGCCCTATAGTGTCAGTGATGCATTAGACACTTTGACATACACAAGATGTGGCTACACACAGCTAGTGTCTGGCAGCCAGGTTTGAGGGCATTATCACCAACAAGAAAACAGGCCAGGTAGGAAGGAGAGAGAAGTGGGCAGATGTGGCCCCTATCTGAACTACCAAGAAGACAGATCCAAGTTCATCTTCCAGGAGGGAATGACTGATGACATTAACAACATCTTTGTCTACAAAGCCCAGCACATATGAAGATTCCCTAAATGGAATGGGAAAATATATTTATATGGTCCCGTCCTCTCATTTCAGATGACCAAATGTAAATGAACTTGGAAAGGGTTACTGGGAATAAGATGAGGCTGGCTCTCACCAAAAACTTCAAATTACTAGATGTCAGAGCTGGACAGGCGATTAGAGGTTATCTGGCTCAATCAACCCATTCTTCAAATGGGGAAAATCAAGCCCAGAGAAGGGAAAACATCTTCTTAAGGTCACACAGCTAGGTGGACAGAGTCACTGATAACTGGTGAGACTTTGAAGCTTTTGAAGCTGGAATGCTGGGGAGCAGGTTCCTTTTTCTGAAGGTGTGTACAGTACTTGGAATAATACAGACACACTGGCCATCTTCCAGAACAGAGAGCCTCCTTTCCTCTTAGAAGGGTAAAGCTGGCCTTGACATTTTCACCCTGACTTCCCTGAGGGGATTAACAAAGATGCAAGGAATAAACCCCAGGGGAAGGTGGCAGCAACAGAGGAAGAGGGTGAGGTCAGGAAGGGGCTTTCCTGGCCCTTGGAGGATGGCTAAAAGGAATGCAATCTGCCCTGGAGATCTGGAGTTAAATGGCTTCCAGAGCTTCATTCACATTGCCCTGCTCTTCCCCAAGATCTGACTCTAGCTTCCTCTGTGGCAACAGGTTTTGATGTTTTTGTTTTTTTTTCCCAGGGGTGTGCTGAGGACTTGCTTGGTTGCCCATTACTTGCTCTTAAGACATTAGCAAATTGTTTACAGTCTTTTCTGTCTATTCTCTTCTGCAGCACACTCCAGCCTGGTGGCAGCTCACAGTGTGCCTTGCTTGTGCACAGACAGGGGCTGGTGGGGTCCCCTTCTCTGGCTGCCAGTGTCACCCTATCAGTCCTTATTCCTCCTCCTCCTATTACCTGTTGCAAGCCTGAGTGGAGATTCAACACGTGGAGACTCCAGCCCACACCCTTCCTCCACTCCACAGAGTCAGGCCCAGAACACCCTGGGATGCCAGGGCCCTGCCTGCCCATCCCTGCTGCCTCCTCTCGTCATGCTTCGCCAGACAACCGCGCCCCGCGGCCCAGCGTCTGGCAGCCTGCCCGAGCTGGGCAATACGGACTGGCAGCTCAGCAGCCACTTCCTGGGTCCAGAGGTGGTGGGTCGCAGAGAGCGGCTCCCTGGGGAAATTCGGGTGCCCTAGTCCAACTGGAGATGTGGGACTGCCCACGTTGCCCTTGAAGCTGCAAAGCCCACCCAACCTTCCCAGGCGGCGCTGGAAAGCAGGACAGAGGCGTGACCCATTCGTCGCCAGCCCAAGGTCCCTGGGGATCCCCAGGCAGTTGCCGAGCCCCGTCTCCCACCGGGCTGGCCGGGTTAAAGGGGTTCGAGGCCAGGGCACATGCTGCGGGTTGGCAGGTCGGGAGGAGGGAGGGGGCATCTATTTCAGCAGAGGATCGTGTGATAGGAAGCGGTGACAATGAGTCACAGGGCAGCGGGGCGCAAGCGCTCCCCCTCCCCCCGCACACGCTCGTGGGATGGTTTCCGAGGAGAGCGTGGCCCACTTCAGTTACCTCAGCGGTTACACAATCCCGCCCGCCCGCGCGGAGGAGGGGCCGCCCGACCCGGGCCGTTCGCGGCCCTTATGCAACCAGTGCTCTCCTGACCTAATTCCACGCTGGACCCACCCCACAGGGAGCCGCGGCCCCGGAAGGGGCAACACCCGGCGGCGCGAGCGGCACGCAGGCGCCGACCGGACATCTCCAGCCTGGAGGACAGGGCGCCAGTGCGAGGAGCGCGCGAAGTTCCTCTCCTCACTGGGAAGGTGCGAGCAGGTGTAAGAGGAGGCCAGGAGTGCAGCGGGAGGAGGAGAGTCAGAGAAACAGAGAGTGACACTGAGCAAGAAAGAAACAGTGACAAAAATGAGAAGAGATGGAGAAAAAGAACCAGAAACAAGGAGACACAGGAACTGGGACTGACAGACAGGAACACAAAAGCCAACAGAAGTTGGCAGAAAAAGACAAAAAGCAACCGATATCGACACAAACACAGTGAAAGACAGCTAAAGCAGGGAAAAAAGGACAAACTCAGAGACCCAGCCCCAGAAACACCCCTCCCCCACCCCGGCCAGGGTCCATGGGTCCCCTGCCCCCTCTTCTGCCCTGGTCCAAGTCCCATCTCGCTGCAGGGTTTGTTCTCCCGCACCCTCGCGTCACCAAACGAGCACCAGCCCCAGCCCGGCAGCACACTGGACTCACCCAACTTAACTGCCTCGTTGTACTTGAGCAGCGCCGCCTCCACCTGGCGCTCGCGGTACAGCCGGTTGCCCTCGTGCCGGAGTTGCGACGCCCGCGCCGGGCCAGGGAACAACTTGCCGAGGAGGCCTCTGAGCACCACGTTGACTCGCAGCGGCGGCGGCGGCGGCTGCTGCCCAGTCCGCCGGGATCCACGCGCCCGCCCAGTGGCCACCATCAACGCGGAGAGCTTGACCCCGCACAGCGCACAGCGCCGGTCGGCGGCCCGCCCACGTTCCAGGCACAGTTTACAAAAGGTGTGGCCACACGACAAGGACACGGGGTCTGACAGAAACCCATGACATTTCCGGCACTTAAAGCCGTCCCACACCTCGGTGGCCGCCGCAGCCCCTGTCTCTTCCGCCGCCACGGCGCCGCTTGTAGCGCTACCCTCGTCCGGGGGCGCCAGCGTCAGCGCCTCGCCTTGCGGGACTTTCTCCGCCAGGCAGCGCACCAGCTGCTCCAGCTGCTCAGCCACCAGCTGCTGTCGCTCGGAGAGCTGTCTATACACCTCGAGGGCTTCCCGGAGGCGCCCCCGGGACGCCAAGGCGTCTGCCTGCGTGAGCAGGACTTTGCTCTCGGGCGTTGAGGTCCCCGGAGACTGCTCTTGCTCTCGCTCCGGCGTCGGTGGAGGTACGGGACCCTCTGCAGCGGCCTCTGGTGGGGGAGCCGTGTCTACTTGGGCCGCTGATGCCCCTCGCTCCGCCGGCTCCACTGGATCTAAGTTGTTGCTGCTGACCTCGGCGGGCAAGCTCAGCATCTGTTCAGTCCGTACTGGCTCCATAGGGAGAGGGACACCGGAGGGGAAGAGGCGTCTAGGGACCGTGAATACGAAGCAAGAAGTGGCGGCTGGAGGAAATCAGGGCGGCCACCGCCGCCGTGCTACGGAACTCTGGGCCGTGCCGCTCCTCCGGGAGCTCCATGCCGGCCGCCCCGCGCCGCCTAATAACTGTCTTGTCTCAGCAAAGTGTTATATAAAACGGTACCACGTGACGTGCCGCCACGCTGCTCATTGGCCGGCGGCGGGGAAATTGTTACAAAACCAGACAGTTTTGTAACAGTGTTGCTCTTGCTTCTTTGGGCTTCTCTTTTCTTGGCTTCTTTCTGAGGTTGTTTGTGTTTACACTTCGCCTTATTCCTCGGGGCCACCTGGTTCTGTTGTGGAAGTGGGTTTGAGGGGTGGGGAGAAACTCAATGTCTTCTCTTGGGCTTCTCAGTCTCCAAACCCCACCCCATCTCACCTCCAAACGGGCCAGCAAACAGGTCCCCTCTGCCAGCCGCTGCACAGTCCGCGAGGTCTTCTGGGACGCCTAAGGCTCTCCCTCTTGGGGGCGATGGCTGCTGTCAGGGAAAGGAAGCAGGTTGGGAGGGGTATCCCTGAAGCCCGCCTCCCCCACCCCACACGCAACCCAGCCCCAGCCCGAGAGCCCTGGAAGCAACGCCTGGACTCCTTGCCTTCCTCCAGAAGCCTCGCAAAAGTGGTGAATGCAGTTTTCTCTGGGGGTCCTTGGTCTTCTGTACCAAGAGCGACTCAGAGCAGCGGGTCCCAAGGGCTCAGAAGTTGGGCAGCGCTCGCTGGGCAGTGAGGAACTCTCGGAGAAGATGCTCTTGCCGGCTCAGCCCCTAGAGGGAGGTGCCCCGCCAACTCCCCTCCTTAACTTTCGCCCCCAACACTGAAACTGGCGCTGGGGCGGACGGCGGGTGCCCAGCTGGAGAGACACCAGGCCGGCTCCTCCATCCACTGGCCGGATGGGCGCGGCCCGGACTCCTCGGCCTGCTGGGGTCGGTGGGTATTCTGGGGTCCTGAGAAAGTGGCAGGCGAAAGACGCGAGTTGAGAGCGCTACTCCAGAGAAAGTCCGTGAGTCCTGTCAAGCCTAGTGGCCGACCGAGTAGCCTCCAGGTTTGTCGTTTCTAAGCGCTGAGTTCTGACAGTGGCACGTCACAGTGGGGGGACTGCTGGGGAGGGGTACAACTGGGCGGGAGCCTCAGGGCCTGGTTTACAAAGGCTAGAGGGCCTCTACGGTGCCCCCACACGCTTGCTGAAGGCTAGAGTGGTGGCCAACGGCACACTCTTTGTCTCCCTCGAATCCCCACATTTAGGTCGGGAACCGAGTTCACAAATGAGCAGAGAGAAAACGGCATAGTCGCACTGTTCCAAGCAGAGAGGCAGGGTCTGGGCTTGCCCCTCGCTCTGTTGGCCTCCAGAGCCTCCGGGCTCTTGGGCAGTGCCAGGGTGCCGCCCCAGGGGCCTGAAGACCTATTGTTGTCCCCTGCTCCAGCGACCTTTTAGCTGGATGATCTTGGGCAAAAGTCACTTAAAATCTAGAATCCATCATTTTTGCTTATGAACTATAATGTCGGAGTTGATCTTACTTGGGATTAAGTCATGTTTCAGAGTTGGGTTATGGCAGGTTCCCTTGGGGCTCTGCTTCTCTTTAGGTAGTTAAACCAGCCTTAGATCAATACCAAGGTCCCAGAGAACAGGTACTATCCAGCCAGGTCTAGAACCTCTCTCTAATAAGACAGGACAGCGAGAGAGAGTCACAGGGCAGAAAGGAGGGGAAAAAAGACACCAAAAAAGAAAGAATAGAGAAACTCCGGATGTAGCCAGGAAAGCACGAGGAACAAAAACTTGGCTTGAAGCCTTGGCTTTGTCATGTATTTGCTATGAAACCTTAGGTAGGTTCTCCAAACCTTAGTTTCTCTTCATCTCCAAGGTTCCTTCCAGCTCTAACCTTGAATAGCTTTGATCCTAAGACGAGATTTCATGATACTAACTCTCTTGCTTAAGTATAAACGACTAGTCCTAATGCTGTGGATGGTGGTTTGAATGGGAGTTGGGGGGATGGGAAGTAAACGGAAGGCTGTGCATTTAGTCGGGGTCAGGTCTGAGCTAGATCTTTTTTTTTTTTTTTTTTTTTTTTTGTTGGGGTTTTTTTTTTTTTTTTTTTTTTTTTGAGACGGAGTTTTACTCTGTTGACACGCTGGAGTGCAGTGGTGCTATCTTGGCTCACTGCAACCTCCACCTCCCAGGTTCAAGTGGTTCTCCTGCCTCAGCCTCCTGAGCAGCTGAGATTACAGGTGTGTACCACAACGCCTGGCTAATCTTTGCATTTTTAGTGGAGACGGAATTTCACCATGTTGGTCAGTCTGGTCTCGAACTTCTGACCTCAGATGATGCACCCGCCTTGGCCTCCCAAAGTGCTGGGATTATAGGCGTGAGCCACCACACCCATCCCTCAGCTAGATTTTTAAGTAGAGGTCAGAGGACTGGCCAAGAGGTGGTGGAGGTGGCTGTGCCAAGCAGCAGGGGAGAAGCTGGGGTTCCTGGTGACTTGCTAACTGACTAAGGAGAGCTCTTTTCACCTCTCAGTTTCCCCTACTATCAAATGAGATCCCCAGCACTAATTATCTGCCTGCCCCTTCAGACACCTGTGGGAAGGACAGCCTATGGGAAGGGCAGAGATTCATGAGATGGATAATGATGAAAAATCTTAATTTAAGAGCTTTACCCCTTCAACACATCTTTTTTTAAAAAAAAATAGATGTCCGTTACCCAAAATTGTTTCCTAGTTGCAAATCTGGGATGTACTTTGCTCCCTGGATGACCTTGACAAGGGAATACCCCCTGGGTTGATTCCTCTCCCTTGCCCTGTTATGGTAGGTAGGCTAAAAGAAGGCCAGGTCAGGTAGAGAGTCACAGTCCTGCAGGCATGGAGAAGAGAAACTCTCTCCAGGCAAGCCCTCTTGGCTGCCAGTGCATGAGGCTGACCTTGCACTTGGTCAGGAATGTTAATAGCTGTCTGGATGTTGCAGGTACCCTAGTGTAAATGGCAGTACCACCTACTCACTGACCAGAATCCACAGGGAGTTTTACATTATAATCAAAACTGCCTGTGGGATAACACCAAATGGGTTTCTATTGAATGCTGAAAACATTTTCACAGTGGCTTTCTTTACTTCTTTAAGTTAAACAAACATTACCATTACATTGATATACATTTGTGAACCAAGTCAGAAGTCTCCTACTCAGAACTTCCTCCCCTCTGCTCTTACTAATGGGAACCCCCCTGGAAGGAGGGGAAGGGGGAGATTGACATCATCTTTTCAGGTCCAAATATTCCCTTTGGAGTGCCAGGTTCTTCAAACCTCCATTTAGTCTGCTAGGATCACCTTGTGGCTAAGGTTAACTAAGAAGAGAGCAAGGATTGAGCTGCTCTTCATTTTCAACTGACTAGTAGTTTTCCAACTGGACTCCGAAGAATCTCTCTGGGGCTCAGAGGAAACAAGCAGGCAGGCTTTGACCCTAGCTCCCTCAAGCAGGGCAGCACTGTATCCATCTGTTTCATGTAAGTGAGCCTCCAGGTTTGAATTCATTGAAGAAAAGCTGTCCCTTACAATATCAAGTTTGAAAACCATAGCAATTTTCACACATTTTCATATATTTGTTGGGCATCTTCCATGTACCAAGGACTCTTCTAGATACTGGAGACACATCAAAGCAGGGGCCAGGTGTGGTGGCTCATGCCTGTAATCCCAGTGCGTTGGGAGGCGAGGCAGGCAGATCACTTGAGGTCAAGAGTTCGAGACCAGCCTGGCCAACAAGGCAAAATCCCGTCTCTAGTAAAAATACGATAAATAAATAAATAATAAAATTAGCAGGGTGTCATGGCGCACTCCTGTAATCCCAGCTACTTGGAAGGCTGAGGCAGGAGAATCCCTTGAACCCAGGAAGCAGAGGTCTCAGTGAGCCGAGATCACACCATTGCACTCCAGCCTGGGTGACAGGTAAGATTCTGCCTCAAAAAAACAAAAAGCAGCACATAACTCCCAGGCTCTCCCTCACATATGATAGTGCGTCTTTCCTCACACATACACATCCTTGTACTGGCTTCCCATATAGACTAGAAGCTCCAGAGGGCAAGGACTGGTGTCTTATAACTCCTCCAGTGACATAAGCAGGACAGTGCTTGAACAGCTCTTACTGAACATGCCAGTGGACATTCTGGCCCTAGGAGTGTGCAGAGGCAAAGAGGGAACAGTTGGAATGCCATACCTTTATACTGGGTCATTCATAGAGCAGAGACTGGGCATACAAATAACAAATGGTTGACAGTCCTGTACTTGGAAAGGACTGCTGAGCAACTCTGGGAGGAAAGAGTCCATTCAAAGCCAGAGACCTGGGGTAAGGTGTATGCAACCCTGTGCGCACATACACATGCACACACTGTATGCCAGGAAGCTTGGCCAAAGCACGCATTTGTTCTGTACTTGAGTTTCTTATTTTATAAACTGGGGTGACTCATAAATCTGCAGTCCTTACAGGGGGAAAAAAAAAGGAAACATGGACATTAATGGTATTGGTATGGAAAGAAAGACTGCCCCTTGTTATACAGAGTAGCCCAAACCCCCAAATAAAAGAAAGTTTAGCTGGGCACGGTGGCTCACGCCTGTAATCTCAGCACTTTGGGAGGCCGAGGTGGGCGGATCACTTGAGGCCAGGAGTTCAGGACCAGCCTAACCAACATGGCAAGACCCTATCTCTACTAAAAAAAATTTTTTTTTAATTAGCTGGGCATGGTGGTGCGTGCCTGTAATCCCAGCTCCTCAGGAGGCTGAGGCAGGAGAATTGCTTGAACCCAGGAAGTGGAGGCTGCAGTGAGCCAAGATCATGCCATTGCACTCCAGCCTAGGCAACAGAGCAAGACACTGTCTCAAAAAAAATAAAGAAAAGAAGGAAGGAAAGAAGGAAGGAAGGAAGGAGGGAAGGAAGGAAGGAAGGA